AAAATAATACATACATACACAGTCTTGCATTTTCATTAGTCATGTTTTTTTTCTGTTTGTGGGCATTAAAAAATCTATTGATTGCTTTTCTCTCTTCAGGATTTTTTGGAAGTGATTAATAGCATTGTCATTGTAGAGATCCCCAAGCTTACTGACCTCAACCTGGTTTGGGTGCCATTCTAAGATAGTTGTTCAAAAGATCTTTAATAGCAGATGTTGGCATTGATCCTCTTTTGTCTTCCTCTTTTTCAGAAGAAAACACCTCTCACTGAGTTTCTTGGTGTTCATCATTCAATAGTTCTTGGAGTTCTTCTGTTGTCAGATCATTTTCATATTTCATTATGAGCTCTTTAATGTCATCTTCATTCCCCACAAATTCCAGATCTCTAGCAGTTGTCACAATTTCATCCTTAATTTCAGGGACATCATTTTCATCTCCTTGACTGTAGGATAGTCACAGCTTTTGTCAAGCTGAATTCAACTGTCATTGAGTTGACTTCTGACCATGCCTATTGAATGAGTTGATAACTTGGATAACTTCCTTGGATAACTTCAAGGATATCATATTAAAATAAGTTGTAAATATCCCTTATCTTCATTTTTGAGAGGGCAAAAATTTGAAAACCAGTTAAAATTGGTTTCATAAAAAAGTTTATTCGAAAACCGGGTTTTTAAAAAGTTGAGTTTTGTATAAACCCTATTAGGTAGGTAGTAGCACTCTGGAAAATAAATAGATAATTCTAATTTAAATTAATTTTATTGAATTATCAATAACTGTTCAATCAATAATTCAATAACATTTTTTATTATTTATCAAATCAATTGTACTGTACTTGTTTGACTTACATATTTTAACTAAGCTTTTTTTTTTTTTATAAAACTTGGATGCTTCTGTTGTGGACATAATCAAACCCATAATGGACATGATTAAAAATAAAGATTGTCTTAGTACTAGAAAGATTAAAAATAATAAATAAAAGCTAAACTATGGTCATATATATAACCATTGATCCATCATCAATGATTGCATGAAACTGTTGATAATTTTGAAGCCAGTGCAGAGCAATATATCTTCTTCTTCATCCTGGCCTATATCCCAGATTATTTGAGGTCAGTCCGTAATATCAATTTACGCCACATTGGTCTATCTCTAGTTGTTTCTTCATTCACTCCACAGTCCAGCATATCTGTTTTTACACATTCAATCCACCTCTTCTTAGGTCTTCCTCTACCTCTATCTCCCTGTACTTTCATATTTAGTGCCTTTTTTGTTACATATTCCTCATTCCTTCTCACCACACGTCCAAACCATGTCAGTCTGTGGCTTTTTATTTTTTCTGAGATAGATACTACCTTTAAACTTCCTCTGATGTAATCATTTCTAATCCTATCCATTCTTGTGACACCGCACATCCACCTCAGCATTCGCATCTCTGCCACATGCAATCACTTCTCTTCGGTGGCTGTCATCGGCCAGCACTCGCACCCATACATAAGCACAGGTCTGATGACAGTTTTATATATTAGCCCTCTTATTTTAAGTGGCATGCGTTTGTCACAAGTTATTCCTGTCACCTGTTTCCACTTTAACCACCCTGCATTGATCCTCCTAGTAACCTCCCTATCAATGTTGCCATCTTTCTGCAGCAGAGATCCCAGATAACGGAATTCAGTACTTTCTGGCAATGGTATTCCATTTAGTTTTAACAAACCAGTACCAGGGAGACTGTCAAAATTACAGAACATATACTCCATCTTGGTTTGGCTGATTTTTAGTCCCTCATTTTCCAGCATGTGTTGCCATTTGTTTAGCCGTCTCTGTAATTCTTCCATGCCCTCATCAATGAGGACTATGCAATATATATGGCCAACAAAACAATGCATGCACCAGAAATTACTAAAGGCATATGCATGTGAAGACAGGTGATATATGCATGCATGACATCTGCAGATAGCTACTGATGACATTTCTTATTTAACTGTTTTTTAACAGAAATTAGAATATTTTTGGGCAAAAATGGACAAATTGGGACATACAGAGAAAACTTTCTGACTAGGATAGTGTTCCAAATCAGACAAATTCTAAAAAATCAGGATTTAGGGTCAACCCTAGTATAAAGGAGCAGGCTTATGGACTATAAGTTATAAGAACTGGACTGAAGTAAAAGACCAACCATTTCCCATCTGATATCATGAATGATTTTATTTTGCATTATGCTTGAAACATGAGGATGTATGTTATCCCACTGGAACAATATTTTTTATTGTGGTGTCCTCCTATCTGCTGGATGAACAGAATTGCTTGTACTGTATCCAGCAGGTGACAGTACACTACACTGTTTACAGTGCTACCATGAGGAAGGTGTTCCCCATAAATGACACCCTGCATTGTTAGCAAAGACACAGAGCATCTGTTTCTTGCCATGACTGCCTAGTTTCAGTGTTAGATCTTCCATCTCATTCATCTTTAGCCACTGTACTCATTGCACTGACCATCATAGTAGACTCAACTTTCAATAGTAGTGATGATTTAGCTGAGAAATAATTCTTATCAGTGGTGGTGATGTTGCTGACATACATTGATATAGTGCTGCTTTATTTACAATGTCAAATCAACCACTATGCTGTCATCCTTGAGCAGATTAGACTCCCTGTGATAATTCTGTTACAGTACAGTTGTTTTTCTGCCTGAGCCATTGAGCCAGGATTCTCTTGCTTCCTATCAGAAGTCTACCAACTTCGTTTTCATGAGTGGAAGAATTATGACCATCATAAAATTACTTAAACAAATTTTGAGCTGAATGATCCTCCATAGCTTTGTAATCAAGAAATTTGTTAACCTTATGTACTGCTATTGATGCTTTGCATCCATTTTTAAAGTGGATAAGAAAATGATTCTTATGTCTTCATGACCAAGTTTCCTGTATTTTTTAAATAAACAATTGCCATTGAAACATAAAACATAATGACAAAACATTGAGTACATGAATCACTCTTTTTAATGAAATGAAAAAAACTGAATTTGAAAAATTTATGAAAAAAATTGATCTGGAAGAATACTCAATAATTATGTTACAACTCTACAGTTTATTCTTAAACATAGCATTTCTGAGATTGTTATTAACATTAACAAATCATATCCTGATTTTCATTTATTACTCTTTAAAAAAGAAAAAAACTTTTGGAAAACATAATTTTAATTTATATATTCAAATCACAAAGAATAGAAGACATTACACAGTTACTACAGTGCTTAGTAGTTTATTTTATTTATCAACAATTATTTGTGATATGTTTTGTAAAAAAATTTTAATTATTTCTTAAAAATTTTATACAAACAGAATCTTAAAGTTTATAAACATTATTTTATATATATTTCTGAAATAAGGAGTTTATGAATAGATAGAATAAAGGAAGAAATTTTAACCCGGCATTGTCCAACTAAATCGTGAATTTCATTGGTAAGAGAAGTTAGTAGCTATTGAATTAAGAACAAGACGATAGGAACTTTTTATAACTGCAAAGTATTCTCTCCCATTGGACAAGGATCCAATGACGAGAATACTTTGCAGTACGGTATTTTATTTTATTTTTCTTTAATAAAATTTCTAGAAAACTCAATTTTTAGAAAATATTTTGTTTTCTCTGCCTGCTATTTTTTAAAGTGACTCATAGATGGTGACATTATCCAGGAATTTGATTCGCCAGCCGTCATCAGAAAGAGTTAGTAAACAGTGATATAGATAATATAAAAGTTTTTTTTTTGGGAAAAAAATTTCAGCAAATATTAGAAAACGTGAAAAGATTAAAGTTTTCAATTTAGCATATTTATGATATTTGAGCAACAAGAAATTGCGTGTTGATATCATATATCGTGAAACGTCATGTAATACCTTATATTCTACCATAAAACAATTTATATAAAAACTACAGTGTCTTTTTTTTTGAGGAATTAAATTCCGTATATGTTATTTAATACGACTGATAATTAAAATATTGTCAATAAAAGTTCTTTGACGGTTATCGATCACACACGTCAACAGAAATCATTTGTGAAAATATGAACAGTTGTATTGTATTCAACAGAAATTATTATTTGTAAACTAAAAATATATAATTTTGTTTTTAAATTTGTAACAGGAATAATCACGTTAGCGATTAGTAAGAAAGATAATAATTAGATTATCTTTTACATTTACGGCACAAACATCGAATTTTGATTTAAATAAATGTGATATTACAGCTAAGATCATTTGTGCCGCTACATATTATCGATCGCAAAATAACAAATAAAATCATAAGAAAATTAAAAATAACGATTTTTCATCGAATTTCTATTTGCTTAATTGACATTTCGTATTCATCAATAATTGTAAATAAAAATAGATACGTGTAGATTATATTTTATCGTATAGAAATTACAAATTATTTTTATCTGATCGTTCACAAGTGAATTAAAAAAAAAATTTTTTACAAGTTATTTATTACAGCAATCGGTAAATTGGAGGATAAATATAGCCGCCTCTGTATTTTTTGTATTATTTATTTAATATATAAATTAAAATTTTAAGAATATTATACAAATACAGCAGCAAATTTTATTGTATAATAATCGTTTTTATTACATTTCAAACAATAATAAAAATATATTATAAATTTCGTAATTTTTTTTAGAAATTGCACAAATATTTAGTATTCGAAAGAGGAGATTTTTATGANATTAATAGTGGAATTACCCTGTGCATCCACTGAGTTGGCCCAACATTTGCCATCCATGAAAACATGAATCCACATATAATAATCTCACATAAAACAAGACTATATAATTAATTATGTAACTAGTAAATTTTAGGACAGAGATTTTACTAATTTAGGTTTAGCTATTTGAAACTATATCTATTGGCCATTGTTTACAAAAAGTTTTGAAATGTTTAATATTTTTATACATATATTAACATAATTTACTCATAAAACTAAATTTAAATATTTTTAAATTCCAGGCACTTCTTCATGTAATAAACTGTATTAATAATGAAAGCTTTGAAGAGAAAGTATCTCATCTGATAACGTTATGGAAGTGTTTAGCCAAATTTTCCAATTATTTACAAGAAATTTCAGAACTGTATCAGTTTGTCCTAAAGTAAGAATTATATATTTTTTAATTATTATGTTAAGTTTTAAATTATAATGGAAATAGATTAAAATTTGTTTTAAACATATTTATATTTTCAAAATTTTAAGCATATTATTGATCTTATAAATTTAAAAGCCAATAAAAAATAATACTGTATTAAAGCATGTTACATTAAATGAATATAATTATATGCATGATCTTAATGTGCCACCTGATTTTCTTATGTACCATATTTTATACTTACATAAAAATGGCAAGGAAAATTTTCTTAAGAATTTAAATATATGTATATATTTTACTGTAAGTTTGCATGTAATTATTTTTAAAGTAATAAAAGTTATTTTGAATAATACTCGTATAATAGGTGCTAGATATTTATTACTGAAGAATGACTGTTGCATGGTTTTATGATTTCCCTTGGAAACTTTAAATAAAAGAATTGTTTATTGTTACTGTTACTAAATATTAATTCAGTATACTGTGTATTGAGCTTATTTACCTTTTGTGTTTGTGTATATTATACCATACATATTAGTTAGTGTTTTTTAAATTATTGATCAATATCTTCTATGATATGTTGATGTTAACTATAAATTTTGTATATAATTAACTTTTTTATTGACTCTTCAGGATATCAAACTGTAGTTATTAAATGCTATAATAAAAATTGACTCTTATGTTTGTCTATATCTTTAATTTTTATCAATGCAATTGATAAATGAAAGTTGCTAATTAATAAATGTTTGGTTCTTTCATCTAATTTAGAAATATCTTTCATCTTATTTAAATAATATTTGAAAAAGTTGTGAATACATTCTATATTTAAAAGCTACTGGAACTTTCATGCAATTGATGATGATAACTTATATTCTATTTTTTAAAATATATGTAAATATTCACAACAATCAGTTTAAATTGTAAAGAATCATGTTTACTAAAAAGAATTTATTGCTAAAGGTTATAAATGTTGCTCATAACTAAATCAAATATTAAATTGGAAAAAAATGTTTACAAACATTTTATCATCAGCATTTTATTTATAAATATGTGTAGAATAGAAGTGAAGTCAGTTTTTAATCATATTGAAAATTCAGTAAAATTTAAATTTTATGATTACCATCTTTTTTCTTGAATTTTATTTCTTTGGATTAACATTTTTAGTAGTTTTATTACTTTATGTAGACTCTCAAACTTACAGATTTTTCTCTAAAGCTACAAAAAATTTAAAATGCAAAATAACTATATTCTAGAAGACTATGATAATGAAATTTAATTCATTTTATTCTAATCTCACAATAAAATTGTAATGTAAGTAAAATATTTTAAAACTGATTAAAATTTTTTAAAAAATCCTTAGCAAGAAAGTATTTTTTTATTGCATTTTTAAACATATAAAACAAAAAAATTAAACCAAAAAATGCAGAAATTTTCTTTTTCCTTTTTGTTATTTTTAATGACAGTTTCTTGTTGCTTTTGTATTTTTACATGTAAAACTATGAATACTGTATTTACTCGTATATAAGACAAGGTTTTTATTCATTTTTCATTGCTTCAAAAACCTATGTCATCTTATATGTGTGAGCAAAGGATTTTTTTCGTTTTTGCAATAATTTTTGTGAACTGTATATTTGCATTTTTTATCGGATTCTCACCTTCTGGTGTTTAAAAATAAAAGTATTTTATCTGAGTCATTTGAATTGTTCTTGTGTATTGTCAGGAGTAAAGATAAATAGCAATAGGAAAATCAAAGCTTTTGAATTGAATTCCAAAATCACACCAGAGCTCAATATAAGTTTAATCCATTCCCACGTGAAAACAGATGATTATTCAGAAATCAGAATTCGGAGAAACTCATAAGTGTAATGAACAGAGAGTGGATTAGACTGTTAAGAATTGGCAAAAAGTTCCCGATTGTCCAGCTTTACATTAAGAAAGTATGTTGTATATTTTACAAGATTTTTCCTTTAAAGTTTAAAATGCTAGTAGTTTTGCAGGACAATGTGTGCATTTACATGCACTTGATAATATTTTATTTGTGATTAAATGAAAAAAAATCAGAATTGTATTAGAATTTTCTTTATTTTGATCTTTAAAGTCACATCTTGTCCTATATGTGAGATTGTCTTATATGCAAGTAAATACAGTATTCTCATATATTTATATTGTTAAATAATGTTGAAATGGTAGTGGTGTATTTTAGAATTTCTAATTAGTTGAACAATTTCATTATATTGACGTAAATAAACAAGAATCTGTACTCAATGGTAATTCATTATTCACTGAATTTACTTTGAAGTTATTTCTGTTTCATTGTTTAAATTTGTAGTTTTCATTTTTGGATTACTTTGTCGATTTTACAAGTTATATTTTGTGTTCTTATAGTAATTTTAAATATACTTTGGAACTGAATATATATAAGAATTTTTATTGTAGGTCTAGAGATTTATTATTGCTTTTTTCTTTGAAATTTTTTATCTTAAGTCATGGTATGGATTAGAAAAAAGATATAGATTTCTCAGTTTATAAATATCAGATTTAGTAATATCAATGTTATTTAATAAAGTAAAAGCCTTTACAGTTGATTAGCAACATTTGTATATCATCAGATACTATGTATCATCTACATATGTTTCTTTTTTTGTTAAGTTACAGCAATACTGGAAAATGTTTAAGAATCTATAAATTTAAAAATTTTGAATTTTATAAAAAATTTAATATTTAAAAAACTTGAGATCTAATACAACTTACTAAAATTCTGAAATAATTACAATGCATAATTTTTTATATAGGGAAAGTTCCTTAGTAATCCTTTCAAGTCAGTGGTCCAAAATAAATATATCTATGAAAAGAACAATGGCAAAAATGTTAATTTATGGCAGCCATATTCTAGGTCCTCGTATCAAAGGAAGTGCACGCACGTGTGCTGCTTTAATAATGGCTATTTATGATCCTTGGAATGAACCAATATTAAAGAAAGCACTTTCTGACGATAATTTTCTTGAGGAGTTAGCTTGTAAGTATATTATTTTTTATTACATATAAGTAATTGCTTGAGCTCATTCATCTTGAAAACTTGTATTATTTTTTAAATTTATTTTGAAATTATTATTATNCAACGAAAAAATAATAATTATAATTATAAAAATTATCGATTTCTCTGCGGTGCTTTCCATCTGCTAGAATAGTAGTAAACGAGGTAACTCAGGTGATGCTTCCACCCCTTCAATAGATGGTGAGTCCGCCCTAACTACATAACAGCTGGAAATTCGCGTCCACTTCGACTGGAATGTCGAAAAATAAAGCTCGAATTATTACCTGCTCGAATGTCGTTGATTGATTACGAGCGAACTGATTGTCCGCGATTGTATTCATCCTTCAGAAATTCGGTACGTCGATATGCAGATTAGCATTTTTCCCCCCCTCCCATTTCAAGGAAAGTCCGGTTTTTTTCTTTTCCTTTTTTTCTTTGATCTGTGGTGTTTATATCATTAAATATTGGAAAACTGACATCGAGCAGTAAGGAGATATTAGATTATTTTTAGAAACTATAAAAAAGATAAATTCTATCTTTTTAAATTAACAATGAATTTCTTAACTAAAGTTAGAAACAATTAAATTTTGTCAAATTAAATATTTTAAATGATTTACTTAACGATACTTGTATGAAATTTTGGGTCATATTAAATATTATTCAATGCTTATCTGGAATTTTGTTATTGTGTTTATTAAATCAGATAAACTACGGAACATTAAGAATGTCGAATAACGTATAAAACGCATTTAATAATAATCTACTGCAGATTTTGATAATGTATCGCGTTTGCGAATTAAATTCTCTTTCTCGTTTCTGATAATTATTCGGTGTTTGACCTTTGTAACATCTGCATATTGTGTACTGCTTTTTTATGAATAAATGATAATTACAAACGCAGATAAAATATATAAAACGTGCATGTAATGGAATAAAAAAAAACCTATTAATTATTTTATAAACTTAAATATAAGCTGACAAAAGAAAACCAGAAAAAATTTCATTAGAAATATTATAATTATTTATCAATTTATAGACATAAATTTATAATAAAATACAGTATATATCATTCTTATGTATAATTCATATTTTAATGTAATTTAAAAAGAAAAACGTTTTTGATTTATTCTATAAAATGACATTTCAGAGACTTTGGCAAATAGATTAATAAAACTTTGACATTAATGTACTAGTATATATAAATATTTAGTTATTAATGAAACTATAAACATTCCAAGCATGCAAGTAAAGTCCTCTAAAGATATCAGACATAGTAAATATAAAATTTTTAGTAGAATAATAATGTATATAAATGCATAGGTTTGTATGAAAAAATTTATACTTACAGATCTTTGTTCGATATATTCTTGGAGAATAAAACGACGACAAAATCATTTTGGACATACTCAAGCCTCATAATTCATTAATTATTATTCTATCCATATTTATGTACAAAATACATTAGTAAAAATGTATTTTACTGAGTTAAAAAAAATTATCAGTGAAAATAATGTGGTTGCAAATAAAATTTACATAATAAAATCATACTGTAATTTTATTATGTAAGATTTAAATATAACTAAACAATTAACAAATAAACTAAATTTTTATAAGTGTAAATATGTAAACAAAAAATTGTAGTCAGTATACAGGTATACCTCGCCTTACGTTGGTAATTGGTTCCAGGAGAACGACTTAAGTCGAAAAACAACGTAAGTCGAATTTACTTGTCTCCCAATCTACTCGCCACTAGGCTAAACCATTAAATTTACTAATACATGTACTGTAAATACAGTATATACTTGTAAATGTATATATTATATGATTTTATGTGCTTTAAACATTTTTCTAGTGATATTATGACTTCAAATATTTGTGGCGGACAGACGTAAAGTCGAATAAAATGACTTAAACTTGATTTTTATTTTTCCATATACTTTTTTGACAAACGACGTATAATCGGGAACGACGTAACTCGAAACGACGTAAGTCGAGGTATGCCTGTAACAAGTTTATAATAAGAGAATTGTTTGTTTGTCACTAGGAAAAAAATAAAGTATTTTAGTTTAAATTACTTTCAGTTGAAATAGTATTTTTCTTTTTTTTTTTTTATTCTTTAATTTTACAACTGGTAATGTTTTGACAAGCAAAAAATTACCAATCCCCAAACAATATCCCATATAAAAAATAATAAGACCAACAAAACAAAAATGTCAAAGTAAAAGAAGAAAAATATATAAACAGTGGGACCACCATATCTGCAGATGATATGTTTCAAAGCTTCCCATGGATAGTAGCAAACTATCTACAAAACCCATATTTATGCATGCATATAATGTGGTAGATTGAGGGAAACAAAAACATAGTTACCGTTACATGTTGTTATGTATTTTGCATTGTTTCATGTCTGCATTTAACCTATAATAATAATAATTGATTATTAAAAATATTTTGCATATATTTTGCTTGTTATTGGGATTATCTCATTACTATAGTAAAAAAGTGAAGAAATCTACTAGGGTGATGGATTAGCTATAGCTATCATTTTATTCGACTATTCCACTTCTGATATAATGTCTGAAGAAGCTGGAGAAGGCACAATACATGAAGATGTTGATGGCTGGATGATGTGAGCAAACAATGTTGACAGCTGGGGATTGTAGATAGTAGACATTTTATGGAAAAACATTGTGATGGGAAATTGTCCCTTGCCATTTGATTTCATGAAACATATTATGAAGAGGTTCGAAAGCTTCCATTATTAAATGGGAAACTTTAATGCTGTGTTTTATCACAGGATCATATTCAATTATCTTTTTCTTCAAATTCTGAGCCAGTTGAAACTTTTTTTTTTTTTTTTGAAGTGTCCACTCTATTGTTTCTGGTTCAGCAACTTTTTATTAGTGTCATCTTTCCTTGTAAGTGATTTGATTGATGAAGTCTTCTAACTCCTTGTTTGTCAACACTTCAATATGATCTACAGTAGAGCCTCGATTATCCGACTCAATTGGGGACTGGGGTTGGTCGGATAACCGAAAAGTATGAAAAAATCTATTATTAGTGTAGTATATTATTATATCTCATGTAATTAGTATATTAGTATATTGCTATTAACCTACTTTGCGTTGAATTTTCATCGATGTTAAGCCTAACAAAAATTTTTTTAAATAATAATTGTCGCTATTGTATCGTTAAAAATTAGAAAATTAAGCCTCGTTTAAATACTGGCTCCCTTTCATGGTCGAATGAGTGTTGCCAGCTAAAACACGTAAAAATATTAAAGTAGCCAAGACATAGCCAAATATTGTAGCGCCACATCATTAGCGGACATTTGAATTTGCCGACTAGGATGGTCGGTTAACCGAGGTGT